GGCTGAATTCTGGCCTGGCTGGCTGGTTGGGCTGAATTCTGGCCTGGCTGGCTGGTTGGGCTGACTTCTGGCCTGGCTGGCTGGTTGGGCTGACTTCTGGCCTGGCTGGCTGGTTGGGCTGACTTCTGGCCTGGCTGGCTGGTTGGGCTGACTTCTGGCCTGGCTGGCTGGTTGGGCTGACTTCTGACCTGGCTGGCTGGTTGGGCTGACTTCTGGCCTGGCTGGCTGGTTGGGCTGACTTCTGGCCTGGCTGGCTGGTTGGGCTGACTTCTGGCCTGGCTGGCTGGTTGGGCTGACTTCTGGCCTGGCTGGGTGGTTGGGCTGACTTCTGGCCTGGCTGGCTGGTTGGGCTGACTTCTGGCCTGGCTGGCTGGTTGGGCTGACTTGTTGGGCTGACTTCCTGGCCTGGCTGGCTGGTTGGGGGCTGACTTCTGGCCTGGCTGGCTGGTTGGGCTGACTTCTGGCCTGGCTGGCTGGTTGGGCTGACTTCTGGCCTGGCTGGCTGGTTGGGCTGACTTCTGGCCTGGCTGGCTGGTTGGGCTGACTTCTGGCCTGGCTGGCTGGTTGGGCTGACTTGTTGGGCTGACTTCTGGCCTGGCTGGCTGGTTGGGCTGACTTCTGGCCTGGCTGGCTGGTTGGGCTGACTTGTTGGGCTGACTTCTGGCCTGGCTGGCTGGTTGGGCTGACTTGTTGGGCTGACTTCTGGCCTGGCTGGCTGGTTGGGCTGACTTGTTGGGCTGACTTCTGGCCTGGCTGGCTGGTTGGGCTGACTTCTGGCCTGGCTGGCTGGTTGGGCTGACTTCTGGCCTGGCTGGCTGGTTGGGCTGACTTCTGGCCTGGCTGGCTGGTTGGGCTGACTTCTGGCCTGGCTGGCTGGTTGGGCTGACTTCTGGCCTGGCTGGCTGGTTGGGCTGACTTCTAGCCTGGCTGGTTGGGCTGACTTCTAGCCTAGCTGGCTGGGTTCAGCCTGGTTGGCTGAGCTGGATTAGGCCAGTGAGTTTTTTGTCAAGATACTGCAGGGGTCAAGGGTAAGTAAGCCAGAGTTCAGAGGTCTGTAGTATATAATGCAGAGCGCAGGGGTCAGTAGTAATGCAGAGAACAGGTGTCAATAGTGTGTAATTCAGAGTTTGGCAGTATGTAAGGCAGAGTTCAGAAGTCAGTAATATGCAACACTTAGTGAGTGTAAGGGTCAACAGTATGTATTGCATAGTGCAAGGATCAGTAGTATCTAATGCACAGGGCATTGGTGGGTAGTAATGCACAGTGCAAGGGTCAAAAGTAAGTAACTCAGAGGTTAGGAGTAAGTTAGGGTTACTACTTACCCATAAGCACACAGAGTTTAGAAGTAGAAAGTAACTCAAGGGTTCAAGTTAGTAACATTAGGGTTATGGTTATTATTGATCTCTGAACATGCAGAGGTCAGTAGTAAGTAACAAAGAGTTCAGAGATCAGTAGTATGTATTCCACAGTCCAGGGGTCAGAAATAATGCAGAGTCCAGAGATAAGTAGTGGGTAATAAAGAGGTCAGGATTAAATATAACAGAGTGCAGGGGTCAGGAGTACATAATGCACAGTTCAGAGGTCAGTGGTGTGTAATGCAATGTGCAGGGGCTAGAGGTAAGTAATGCAAAGTGCATGGGTCAGGAGTACATAATGCAGAGTTCAGAGGTCAGTGGGTGTAATGCAATGTGCAGGGGCTAGAGGTAAGTAATGCAAAGTGCATGGGTCAGGAGTACATAATGCAGAGTTCAGAGGTCAGTGGTGTGTAATGCAATGTGCATGGGCTAGTGGTAAGTAGTGCAAAGTGCAGGTGTCAGGAGAAGGCAATGCAGAGTGCAGGAATTAGGAACAAGTAATGTACAGAACAGTGGTAAGTAATGCAGAGTGCAGAGGTCAGTAGCATGTAGACACACATCCCCCTTCGCTTCATCCATAAAGTATGGGTGACGCCCAACAAGCAATCCATAGCTTTCTTTCATCTTAACTCATTCAGCACTTGATGTCCTTAATTACTTATCGATGTTCCTCAATGACTCTCAGTTCAGGCGCTTACACACTGTGTTGAGGTAATATGAACACCTGTCACCCAAACACGGCAGTGCGCTCCAGCCAATCAGAGGCTTGCTGAAAGTAATCTCAGGACAGTCTGAGGGAATTTGAGATGGTTGAGGAATATGCATACTGCATGTATACGAATTATGCATTTTCTTCTAGTGCGCATGATCATAAATCCTCTACATTTCTTAATGACGTACAGTATATGTTTACAAGTAGTTTCGAATTGTTGCTTTTAAGAGGTATAGTAGATAATTTTCTTTTTAGATTGCATTGTCAAGTTTTGTTATACATATGGGTGACTGGGCTTATTTCATTGCATGTCTTCTTCTGTATACCATAAAGGCTCTCAATGTCTATTTCTTTTATTATATTTTTTATACATTTGTGTTTTTTCTTTTGTCATCCGCCTCTTTATGTATTTATTCTTGGCTTGTCTAATGTGCACCATTGTTATGGGTTAATGATTCATAACATTTATAACATGTGATACTGTTGCCATCTAGAGTGTCAATGAGGAAATGCATGACACTGACAAATGATCCTGAAACCAGCTTGCCCTTGCCATGCAGCTAACCTGGCTACCAGACATGGAAAATATGCAAATTTCGCCAGTGACATTTTCTTTGTTAAAGAAAACCTGTTATGAAAGACATATGCAAGCTTCCATTGTTGATCTTTCTTTCTTGTTATTAAATGCTTCTTATCTACTGGGCTACTTTGGTTTCATTAATTTCTGTGTCCTGACCCAGACCAAGTATGGATATATGAGATTTTTGCTATTTTCTGTCTTTTCATTTTTAGATCTGTGTTCTGAGTCTGTACTTCAGAAATATGTAAAGTAGACAGTCACGCTCAAAAGAAAGTCCCCTCACATCCATCCCTCCATTACAGAAATAGGGAACTTTTTTTTTGTCAATTTACCTTTTTTCTACTAAAAGAGTTCTAGCAGGCCATCCACGTCATTCACTTAGGCGAATGACCAGCACTGTGCTTGCAGTGCCTCCTGGGATATGCATGTCACATATCTCAGGAGGCATAGTCCTTCATTGTCAAATGACAAGGGGGGCAGACCTAGCGGCACATCATTGGGAGGCCACCGGCTGAACCTGAAGAGACAGCAGCCCTCTGATGGCATCACACAAGAAGATGGCGCAGCAGGACTGGTCAGGGCAGAAAAGAAGAGGATCTCCAGAAGGTCCATGCTGGATCCAGTGGGTGGGTGAGTATCTGAAATGTGCAGAACACAGCATCAGGTAAGCAGGGGTTAAAAAAAAAGGGGGGGGGGGGGGCCGGGGGGGGTGTGAAGATCTGTTCTAAATCAGACACAGAGAGACAACTAAGATTTTAAGAAAGAGACCATCAGTGGTGCCCCCTCTTTTATGATAGGTATAGTTTAACAGATTAGCATATAGTTTAAATACAAGCAGATGCTACTGATTCCGAGAAATAAGTAGGATTAAGAGGGATTGTACAAATCAGTGACAGTCACTGAAAGACTAAAAAAAAAATTGGACATAATTTGCAAAATACCTCTTACAGCTGGAAAGTAGGGCCAGTGAATAAAGACCTGGTTAAGACACAGACAGTGAACTAAAATGAATACATCATCACATTATCTAAAAGAGAGGTAGAGAGAAGAAGGCTCCTGCAAATGTATGAGTATTCGCTCTTCTCTTCCATTGTGAGTACCACTTTGTTTTATATTAATCCTTTTTATGTGCATATATGTGTACACTGTTTTGTATTGTGCACCAGAAACAAGCAGACTAACCTAACAAGTAAGCTTAACATACAACAAAGATGTCTTAGCCTAAAAGAAGACAGATGACATTCCAGTATAAATTGATATAAATTTTATTAACCAATTTGTTCTCCATTTAAAAATTATTTTTAAAAAAATTTATCCAGAAGAACAAAGCAGCAAAAATATTTCTATATAGAAACAATGGAAAAATTACAAATAATGGCTTCCTAGTGGGCTGCTTCTTAAATAAACTAATGGTGTTATGTATACATTTGCTTAACAAACATGTCTGTATGAGCCGCTTAACTTTTTGATCATTTTGGATCAGGATAGAAAAAAGAAGATGCTATCCATAGCAATATATCAGGTGAAACTAGAATCCCACAATCTCTGTAGTCCAAGACCTCCAGACAGACAAAACAATTAAATGCTGCTCAAATCGATCGATAACCCCAAAGGAAAGTCCCAAACTATATTTACATGCAGAAAATTCAATATATACATATACACGTATACATATAAGCTATTGTAAACTAAGAAATTAAAATAAATATTATATATATATATATATATATATATCTATATATAGATATATATATATATATATATATATATCAAAATTAGAAGAAAGGGATGAAAAAGCAAGAAGGAGGAACATGTAAAAGGAGTATATTTAGGGCAAGAACATAAGTGTGCATTTAAAAGAGCAATAGTAACTTGGAGAACCAGAGCAGCTGGCAGATCTCATGGATAGGTGTCCTGGTTTTCAAGACCTAGAAATGTCACTTTGCAAATCTCAAAAAATAAAATAAAGAAATAAATTTGCCACAGCCTTGCCAATTTATTTTCTGGAATAGTATACTATTTGCAAAATCTAGTAATCTGATGAACAGGGAAAAGGACACTATCCTTTGATTTGAGATGTGCTATTTGAAACAGTTTAAGCATCACAAAGATGTCCCCTTGGTGGATCCAGGGCAGATCTGTGTGTTGTAATGTCTTCAAAATCCAAGAAAACTAGTTAAAAAGTCTGGGGTTAAAAATAGCTAAGCATGGGTTGGTTTGCCATAACTTGCTGCTCCTATAATCCCACTAGTAAAAGCATACTTGGATATGTCAATAAACATTGACTGGAATTGAAATCTCCTTTAAGACTTATGATGTGAATTAGGTCACCATTATGTGGGAAGAAACTTACCACAAAAGGCATCTCCATTTTGGTAGTTCTTGCCATTTTGTGTATCCTCTTCATTTTGTACTGTAGATACATGTTTAGCTGAGGCACATCCCATATTTATCCAGTCAGGTCCCGACTGACTGATTGGAAAAAAATCATTTCTAGTGAAAACTTTTCAAGTTGTGCCACGAACAGAAAGTTATATCCACCATTGCTGAACCTGTGGGAAGAGGTATGATACATTCAGAAAAAAAGCAACATTTCTCAAAGAAACACTATTTTTTATAAGGAATTCAAGGCAAAAGGTAATTTTTTCAGGATACTGCTTAAGTACTGTTAGGGTTTCTAGAAGTTCCCTATAAAACAGAAAATCTTTGCTTTCTGAGTTCAGGTCAACTTTAATACTTAACCTGGACACGAATAAAGCACAATGCATAGAAATAAATCTGGTGTGAAGAAGACCTTAGTCTTGTTTACATGGTATGTGTATAATATAAAAGTGAAAAAAGGAAACAATAGTCACAAATACTAAATTAAAATCCTCCTGAAAACAAGTCTTAAATTTACATGAAGTAGAACATGTCAAAACTTACTGTTGCTGGCAATTTAATGCACAATTCTTTTTAAATTAAGTTATATTTGGGTAAACAAATGTAAGTGACGTAGCCATTAACAAAACACATACAACAGCAAAAAAACCTATTCTACGCTGTGGGAAATGCTTCAACATCTAATATGGCAGAAACCTCTAACACAAATACTAAAGGCAAAAGCAACATCTGTATTTGATAGCTTTGGCTTCTTAGGTAGGCCTGTGGCAACAGTACAGTGGACCTCTTTGGAGACCATCCTGATGTGTTCTGCCTATTTACACCCTTGCTCATTGGTGCAGGAATTGGGGCTGATCTGATGTATATAGGTGCGAGGACTGGGACTGACCTGAAGGTTGCAGATACTTGAAATGTGATTGAGCTGATGTTTTCAGATGCATGTATTAAGGCTGATCTGAGGCTTGAAGGAGCAGGAACTGGGGCTGATCTGAGGTCTGAAGGTGCAGGAATTGGGGCTGATCTGAAGTCTGAAGGTGCAATGAGATTGGGGATTATCTGAGATCTGAAGGCACAGGAATTGAGACTGATCTGAAGTTTGAAGGTGCAGGAATTGGGGCTGACCTGACGACTGAAGGTGCAGGAATTGTGGCTAATCTGCAGGTTAAATTCATACATGTTTTGTGTGTGCAACAGTATAATAGCCAACGAGTTTAACTTGCCCTTATCAGTACAACTATGTACAAGTGCAAACATTGAAAAAAACATATGACTATGGTGTGCTATTGTTCACTGGCATGCAGTTTGTCTAATTCTTCTAAATAGGATTGTGAAAAAGTTTGCTAACCCATGTGCTAAAAAAAACCTGTAAAATCAGTGTATACAGTTAAAGAAAAAATATTTAAATATCTTAATCAACTGAAGTTTAGCCTTTGAAACACTTGAAAACATCGACTGTTTGTGAAAATGTATTTTGTACAAGGTTTTTACATATTATATACACATACATATATGCACACGTGGGGATAATGCTGCCTTCATAGTTTTGCCTTTTCTGCCTGTGGTTTAGTTTCCTGAATCTAATTAATATATGGAATGACAGGGTTATCTAACCATGAACGAAAGCTGTAGAAATAGGACAACTGGAAACACTGACTGCCAATCAAGTATCCCATATTAAAAAGACAACACAGACAACTAATGTGAGCTAGTTGACTAAGCTGTAGAAAGAGACATGTCCATCAAGTTTAACCTTTCAGCTTCCACAGTTCAGCCCAGAAGATGGTAAAGGAAAAACATCTTCAACAACTAAGCCAATTCAGCATCATAGGTGGCAAAATGGAAACTCTTCCCAACCTCACAATAGCAAATCAGTTTCCAGGATACAAATATTACAGTGCTATTTTTAGTAATCGTAATTGTTATTATATCTCTAAAATGTGGTTATTGTGTACTTTTTAGAACTGGGGAGCAGTGATTCCATAACAAAAGTTGAGCTGTTAAACCCCTTAATTCACAACTGTTAATTTTAATCTGGGATCAGGTTCATATTTGTTATGTGGGACAAGAAAATTTTACTATTAGGGATACATTTCACTTACAGTTTTGCATGTGGTATATTTTTTTTATTGTGGCTGTTTTTAAATTTTTGGAATAAAGCAAAAACATAAATTGCATCTTACTAGCTTCTACATAGACAAAATATATTTTAAAGTCACTTTACAATGTGCACATTGTCTTTTCAAGTGCTAACAGGCACATATATAAAGAACAAGCAGATCAAATAGTTGACTATACCATTGTCACAAAAGGGAGATCATGCTGAGCAACATGTTAAGATGATACGTTTGGGCAAAATGTACTGTTCTATTTTCCTGCTCCTCAACCTATCAAGTACTTTCCTTCAAACCACAGTTGTTAGTCTTCACTCACAGCATTTGCCTTGCTATTTAAAATGACATCTGGCTTAATCTAAGTGAAATATTGTAATTGATGTGGAAGAAAAGCTCTATAAAAACTCCAAGGTTTAGAATGCAATATTGGGTTAAAAGAATTAATATCGAAAACATCTTTTGTTTGCTTCTTCTTTTGCTGCCCACCGTCTAGTGCAGTGGTGGCGAACCCGTGGCACGCGTGCCACAGCCGGCACGCCGAGCCTTATCTGTGGGCACGCCAGGAGAATCCAGCGGCGCGCTGTCTTCCCGGCTGTAGTGTGCGTGACAGCCGGGTCCCAAGTGCGCATGCACAAGAAGCAGTGCTCCTTGTGAATGGTAAGGCGGTACCTGGGACACATGACAGATCCCAGAAGCCGCCGGACCAATCACAAAGCGCAGCGCTTCTCGCGCATGCGCACTGGGCATCCGGCTGTCCGACGAGCGCCCACACTACAGAAGCCGGGAAGACAGCGCGCGGCTGGATCGAGGAACAGGTAAGATAAAAAAAAAAAAACTCTGCGGAAGTAAGAGCGGGTACCTGTCAAATTCAGGTACCCGCTCCCCCTCCCTCCCCAAAGGTCAGCAGTCATCCCTGTGCTGTGTCCCCAGTCTCTGGTCATCTCCTGTGCTGTGTCCCCAGTCTCTGGTCATCTCCTGTGCTGTGTCCCCAGTCTCTGGTCATCCCTGTGCTGTGTCCCCAGTCTCTGGTCATCTCCTGTGCTGTGTCCCCAGTCTCTGGTCATCTCCTGTGCTGTGTCCCCAGTCTCTGGTCATCTCCTGTGCTGTGTCCCCAGTCTCTGGTCATCTCCTGTGCTGTGTCCCCAGTCTCTGGTCATCTCCTGTGCTGTGTCCCCAGTCTCTGGTCATCTCCTGTGCTGTGTCCCCAGTCTCTGGTCATCTCCTGTGCTGTGTCCCCAGTCTCTGGTCATCTCCTGTGCTGTGTCCCCAGTCTCTGGTCATCTCCTGTGCTGTGTCCCCAGTCTCTGGTCATCTCCTGTGCTGTGTCCCCAGTCTCTGGTCATCTCCTGTGCTGTGTCCCCAGTCTCTGGTCATCTCCTGTGCTGTGTCCCCAGTCTCTGGTCATCTCCTGTGCTGTGTCCCCAGTCTCTGGTCATCTCCTGTGCTGTGTCCCCAGTCTCTGGTCATCTCCTGTGCTGTGTCCCCAGTCTCTGGTCATCTCCTGTGCTGTGTCCCCAGTCTCCTGGTCATCTCCTGTGCTGTGTCCCCAGTCTCTGGTCATCTCCTGTGCTGTGTCCCCAGTCTCTGGTCATCTCCTGTGCTGTGTCCCCAGTCTCTGGTCATCTCCTGTGCTGTGTCCCCAGTCTCTGGTCATCTCCTGTGCTGTGTCCCCAGTCTCTGGTCATCTCCTGTGCTGTGTCCCCAGTCTCTGGTCATCTCCTGTGCTGTGTCCCCAGTCTCTGGTCATCTCCTGTGCTGTGTCCCCAGTCTCTGGTCATCTCCTGTGCTGTGTCCCCAGTCTCTGGTCATCTCCTGTGCTGTGTCCCCAGTCTCTGGTCATCTCCTGTGCTGTGTCCCCAGTCTCTGGTCATCTCCTGTGCTGTGTCCCAGTCTCTGGTCATCCCCTGTGCTGTGTCCCCAGTCTCTGGTCATCCCCTGTGCTGTGTCCCCAGTCTCTGGTCATCCCTGTGCTGTGTCCCCAGTCTCTGGTCATCCCCTGTGCTGTGTCCCCAGTCTCTGGTCATCCCCTGTGCTGTGTCCCCAGTCTCTGGTCATCCCCTGTGCTGTGTCCCCAGTCTCTGGTCATCCCCTGTGCTGTGTCCCCAGTCTCTGGTCATCCCCTGTGCTGTGTCCCCAGTCTCTGGTCATCCCCTGTGCTGTGTCCCCAGTCTCTGGTCATCCCCTGTGCTGCTGGTCCCCAGTCTCTGGTCATCCCCTGTGCTGTGTCCCCAGTCTCTGGTCATCATCCCCTGTGCTGTGTCCCCAGTCTCTGGTCATCCCCTGTGCTGTGTCCCCAGTCTCTGGTCATCCCCTGTGCTGTGTCCGCAGTCTCTGGTCATCCCTGTGCTGTGTCCGCAGTCTCTGGTCATCCCTGTGCTGTGTCCGCAGTCTCTGGTCATCCCTGTGCTGTGTCCGCAGTCTCTGGTCATCCCTGTGCTGTGTCCGCAGTCTCTGGTCATCCCTGTGCTGTGTCCGCAGTCTCTGGTCATCCTGTGCTGTGTCCGCAGTTCTGGTCATCCCTGTACTGTGTCCGCAGTTCTGGTCATCCCTGTACTGTGTCCGCAGTTCTGGTCATCCCTGTACTGTGTCCGCAGTCTCTGGTCATCCCTGTACTGTGTCCGCAGTCTCTGGTCATCCCTGTACTGTCCGCAGTCTCTGGTCATCCCTGTACTGTCCGCAGTTCTGGTCATCCCTGTACTGTCCGCAGTTCTGGTCATCCCTGTACTGTGTCCGCAGTCTCTGGTCATCCCTGTACTGTGTCCGCAGTCTCTGGTCATCCCTGTACTGTGTCCGCAGTCTCTGGTCATCCCTGTACTGTTAATTAGTTTGCACTACTGTACGAGTTGTTTTTTCTAAACCAAAAGCTCGATATTCAGGTTTCATTGCAGTGTTGGCACTTTGAAAGAAATAAGTTGGTTTTGGGTTGCAGTTTGGGCACTCGGGCTCAAAAAGGT